GAGAGAAGAGTGAGACGGCCATTGACATACCAGCACCCATGTCTGCTCCTCACTGTCTGTAACTGCACTAGCACCTGAGATGGCTACTACTCGACTCGTTCTTCATCCAGCAGATTCAATTTTTTTTGGAAGAATCGCACCCTTGCTAAGAACTCCTCTTCGTCACTATTTTTTTCCGGACCAGAACTGAAGCCACTAGTGGTGACGAAAACAATGCAAGACCTCAGCGTCAACCACGATGGTAGAACAGACTGAGGAAGTAAGTCAAGTCTGACGCGAATGTAGCGAAGTGATTACTAATCGTACCAAAAGAGGAAGTCGAATATACTAGGCCAACACAACCCCATCAGCGACGAAGTGGGTGCGATAAAGGAATCATGAGCGAGAAACAAGACCAAGAGTTGGAATGAATTTGTAATGTAAGTTCTTCGGAAGAGACTTTGTAAGAATATCTGCTATCATTTCTGTAGTGGGAATCCAAGTAGTAGAAAAAGAACCGGTACGTAACTGTTCACGAATAAAATGGTATCGTATGTCGATGCTTTGATCTTGACGTCGTAGAGTCTGAGTTTGCTATTTCTAAAGCGCTTTGATTGTCACAGAAAATTGGTAGAGGTCTGGGAATCAGAAGATCGAGTGAAGTGAGAAGGAACCGAATTGATATAGCTTCACGGATTGCATGAGAGATCGCCATGTATTCTGCTTCTGTTGAGGATAACGCGACTGTTTTCTGTTTGACCGAAGACCACAATACTAGGCTTGAGTAGAAAGAGAATGCATAACCTGATACACTCCAACGAGTAGCTGTGTGAGAAGCCCAATCTGCATCTACAACCCCAAAATCGGCCGGCAGTATCAATCGAGCTGGTGGATTGGTTGCAGGTCGCGAAAAATTATACTCTAGAGCGAAATTCCGTGTGCCAGAGATATAATGAAGGACTCGCTTCGCAAGTAGTAGGTGTGCTTGAGTTGGGTTTGCATTGAATTGACCTAATGACATAGCTGTAAATGCCAAATCTAGGCGTGTACACAGACTAAGATATAGTATTGATCCGACTAGACGTTGATAGTGAACCTTGACTTTGTCCTCAGGTACATCTGGAATTGCATTTGGAGGAGGATCTGGTAATTCATGGAGATTGACGTTCGATGGAAGGGAAAGTGGAGCAGCATCGATCAGATTGTATGTGTTCAGGAGATCCAGTACAAAGCCTTTTTATGATAGCCAGAGTTTCCATTCGGGTCAATCGCAATTGATTTGTATACATAAGTATAAGGTTGTTGGTCCTGAGTCTTTAACCTTGAAATGTCTGTTCAACTCGATGAGAATCTAGTTGTACAAAGGTATTGAGTTGGTCGCATTTAATCCATCATCAACATGAACACATATGATGATGAATCAATTGGTTCCATCAGGGAGAGAGGGAATGGAGGAATGGGGAGGGGATGAGAACCATCCAAAGAATATGCCATGGTCAATGTCACAATGAGTCAAACCTAGAGCTTCCAATCATTCATGCAGTACAGCATACCACTTGTGAGATGCCTGTTTAAGTCCATATAATGCTTGTAGTGTATGATTCACTTTTTTAGGATTCACATCAGGAAAACCTGGTATCTGCTCCAGGTATATCTTGTGTGTTGATGGTGCATTCAAGAATGCTGTCCTTACATTGATTGAGAATAGTTCAAGATCATGAAGTGCTGCATAAGCCAGGGTTATGCAAATACTTGTCATCTTAGCAACAGGAGCATAGGTGGATCCATAGTCTTCTGGTTGTTGAATGAATCCTTGTGTGACTAGTCAAGCGTTATCTTTTCCCCAAATTATTGTACCATCTGGATTGTACTGGTATGCATATACCCATTAGACACCATTTGCTTTCTGGCCAGGTGGTAGATCAGTAGATGTGAAAACATTCTGTGCTTTAAGACTTTCGATTTCACGTTCCATGGCGGCTTTGCAGTACTTTGCGGACATCAGCATTGCTTTGATGTGTAGCTTCATAATAATTTTCTGGTGCTTTGGATAAGTCATAAATTTGAGGAGTCTTGAATTGAATTGGATCTGGGCCATAAGTCATGTATGCTTTGATATCTGCAAGAATTGGTTCTTTGAGAGAGAGAAGGTCATTGAGTGGAATTGAGAGTATAGTGGTGGTGAACAAAGTATGAATATCCAGGATTGCTGATAACCCTTGATGAGGTTCTAATTGTGCAAGTTGATCTAAGCAAAGACATGTGATACATTCATTTTGTTTTGCAATTTCTTCAAAGAACACTTAATGTGTTGGGGTTTGTTTGATGTTTCTTCTTGGACAATTTCTAATAGAGTCAGAAGGAGGATTTGTAATTGTCAAATTAGGAGAAGGAGGGGAAATGATGTTATCTTGAAGATCAGTGGAATGTATTTCTTGAGTTTTTGCTTGAAAAGATTCTTGATATTCAGATGAAGGCAAGTCTTGAGAAGGTGAAGATATTATTGAAGAAGTCAATTCGGGATGAAGAGGAGGAGATGGAGATGGTACAGACAACTGTGAAGAATCAATGTGACTGGGTGATTGTGATCTTGCTCTAGTAGAATGAGGTTTAAGTTGACCTTGAACATTTTTGTTGAAAATGACATCCCTTGAGAAGTAATACTGGCCATTTAGGTCACAAACGTGCCAACCAATGCAATTTTCATCATATCCAATGAAAATCACTTCAAGATACCTGGTTTCACCCTTTTGACAAGTTTCATGTGGATGGAGTACAAAGCATTGACAACCTCAGATGCGCAGGTGTGATAAATCAGGTTTGATATTATTCATAATTTTGTAGGGTGTTGTAAGTGCAGGTAGAGTCAATGTTGGAAGGTGGTTGCATAAGTATTGTGCCATAAGGATTGCATCACCTAGGAATGAAAGAAGAACCATAAGAGCTTGGGCTATATCTTTGATAGTCTGAATATATTGTTTGGCTTTACCATTTTGCTGATGGTCATAAGTGGCAGTAGATTGAACCACAATCCCTCTACTATTGAGAAAATCACTTAAAGGACCTTGGATGAATTCCTTGACCCCATCACATCAAACAGTGCAAACTTTATTCCCAGACTTTAACTCCCATTGAGCTGTAGTAACTTTGAAATGACTGCATGCTTGATCTCTGATTGTGAGTAAAAAGGTACTCCCATAGTTGGAGAAGTCATCAAGGATTGAGTGGAAATGATGAGTATGTCTGTTAGCAAACCAAGTAGGGAATGGACTACAAGAGTTCATATGAAGCAAATCACAAACATTCAATGCTCTCCTACCAAGATTATCATAAGGTCAGGCTGGTTGCTTTCCAATAATACAAGGAATGCAATGGTTGTTGTTGAAATGACCAACATAGTCAACCCCAGTCACATAATTCTTTGTAAGAACCACTCTAGTCATATCATGAGCAGGATGTTCTAGGTGCTGATGCCAAAGGTTTGGAGTTAAATGAACCTGAGCAAAAAATGTATTTGATGCAGGTATAGCTGGGAATGCCATGGACACCTGAGATGTAGGGATGACAAAGTCACAGAACAGAAAGAACAGTTTGTTGAGTTTAGTCACTGGAAGAGTTTTGCCATGAAGTTCTTGAATTGACAGAGGGAAGAGAATGGAGGAAGCTTCTTGTTCAAAGAGGAGTTTCATGTCATCGTTGTAAGCTTGCTGTTGACAACTTATGACATTCACAGACACAAATCTCACATTTGCGTCACAGCTGCAGCACACTCACATGATGGCCACCTCAAAAGGACTTGTTTCTCACCTTTGTTTGCTATCCTACTACTGGCAAACAAAGGTGAGCCTTTAGATAAATATTACTTCTATCTTGTATCCTAACTACTGGCAAACAAAGACTTTTATCCTGTTTGTTAGGGTTGCAGTGAGGCTGTTTACCAACAGCCTTTCACTTTTTTTTTAACATTGATAAAAATTTTCCAAACTGTCTTACAGTTGTTGCCCACCATCTATGCCCACTCCTGCAACCACTAGACAAGCGACAAAAACTACAACAAGCTTTTGTATCTCTACCAGTTACACTTCCATCTACTCCCTCACCTTTGAGCTCTACTCCACTGAAAAAGGAGCTGAAGGAGGAGCCTTCCCCCACTGCCAGTGAAACTGAGATGTTGGCTGCACTCCATCCAGCCCCATTGTCCAGCTCCTCTGAGAGCTCCAGTGATTCCGAGTCCTTGTCATCCTCAGATGACCTTGACCCTGCCCAACAAAATGACCCTGAAATCAAAACACTTGGTGCCTATTGCTTACCGCATACCACCACCAATCAGAAATGCCATAACATGTCCTCAACACTCCCATTCCATGTCAACACAGACAAACAATGCCCCCTTGCTGAAGTGAAGGTGGCAAAACTAAAAGACTGCGCCATGATTACCAAGGGCCACATGGATGACAACCTGTTCCAACAGTGGTCTATTGTGTGTCACAGATATAAGAAACACTCCAGAAAAAGGCCAGGTGAGATCACAGCCTTTGTGGCCGATGGAATGCTTGAACCTCACTTTGTGGCATGGTACCACACCAATCAATCTCACATTGATGCCATGATGCTCGATGACTATCTTGAGGAGTTCCAGAAGTTTGCATTGCCCCACAATTGGCAACCTAAGGTGCGAGATTTGATCCTCACCTCCTTCCGGGGAAACATGTCCTTTGCCAACTGAAGTGTCTACATCCAAAACCTCAATGCTCGACTCAAAAACACGGGATCTGAACACACCTTGACTGATCTCACAATCAAGGCACATCTTGAATCACACATGTGCTCCAATCTTTGAAGGAATTGACATTAATGTATTGATCACGTTTAAAGATTAAATCTTTTTCATCGCTGTCTGAAGGACAAAATGTCAATGAACAATAAAGGGATATCGCAATATTCCGCCCATTGACCATGGTTCGGTTTGTGGGTTCTCATGTGACATGGGAGGTGGACATGTAAAATTTTAGAACGTACGCACACTGATGGTGAAGTGGTTATCATGCTTGCCTTCCACTTTGACGTAAATCCGAGGCCAGCAAGCGGCAGGGGTTCGATTCCCCTTCAGTGTATTTTGTCTGCCGAACTGTGGCGGAAGTTTTTTCGATCGTTGTCCGTGATATCTCAGCGAAGGCGCATCCCAGGCGATATAGGCGATTTGAGAAGATAGAACGCTAACATGCTGATATCATGCTTGCTTTCCACGCGATAAGACACCAAGGGTGAGCAAGCGCCAGGGGTTCGATTTCTTTTCAGTGTATCCACAACATGATCAAACTCTTTCTCTCGATGGCTTTGTTACTATAAGTAGCATATAGTCCTTGTACGACACACCGAGGGTGAATTGGTGATATCGCTTGCCGCTCAAATAAAATGAAGAAGCTGCGAATCCGAGGTTTGGACCACTGCTGGCAGCCAATGATGTTTCCCAAGGGAATATTGTACGAGAAACCTGTTATACTATTTCTAAACAATGTGTTACCAATGGCAAAAGGCTCTCAACAATGGGAAACACCTTTTCACAAGGGAAGAATCTGTCAAAGAAATGGTATGACAAGTTTCTCTTTCCATTTTTCCAACAGTAACACATTCTGATGCCAGCAGTGGACCTTCATCAAACTCTGCCCTGAGTGCCATAATGTTTAAGTCAGTTCTTGCGGCGCACCGTGGTGTCGATCGAGAACGGTACGTTTACATTGGTGACATTGTCAAGTAAGTCTTCCCTGACCTCCTGTTCTGTGGAAGTAAGGTACATTATAGTTCAGCAAGCGGTAGGGGTTCGATTCCCCTTCAGTGTATGCTATGCTTCTCGTCGGTACAATCATCAATCGTTTTAGATCCTAAATCTGAAAATACAGGGTCTATAGCAACATCCAATATGATAATGTCCAACGCCTGATCCACATCCCACACCTCAAATCCAATTACCGTTGAAGACCCTCCTTCTAATTGTTCTCAGGCATACCCGGCGGATCCGTAAGAACTCGTCGACCCCGCAAGTACAAATGACTTTAAAGAATCGAGATCATCGCTGGCAAGATGCGTAAGGACAACGACGTGCCACGAGATGTAGGATATCATGAAGGGAACTCAAAACCAAATCTCATACACTGATGATCATGTTTGCCTTCCATGAAGATGTGATATAGTAAGCAAGCGGCAGGGGTTCGATTCCCCCTTCAGTGTACTGAATGCCATATTCTTCGGAAATTTACCGCACTGTCAGCACACACTAATGCTGAAGTACCCATCCATGTTTGCCTTTCAGCAGAGGGGGTCATCCAGCCAAGCGGCAGGAGTTTGATTCCTCTCTAGCGTGTTATCTCCCGGTTGGTAGACATCGTTTTTCGGTCTCAATGAACAAATCTATACGCGGGTATATCTATCTAACCTACGCACACACCTTGACAACATCCAATGTCTGCTTCATATCCCCCAGCAAATCCACAACTATCCTCAACCCTCACACTGAACGTAACCGGATTCGCACCAACAGTCGTCTAACGGCCTCCTCTAGATCCTTCTCACTGCGACACGGTCGAGCTCGTCCACTTCTCCACGAGATTTCTCAACCTCTGAACGACCATCGAGTTGTACCTTCAGCACAAACGCGATCGCATCGTCGATCCATGTTCTCGCATGCGCGAGATCATTCCTAGGGATGGATATGTATAGTACGCCAAGAGTAATTCACCAACCTCCTCACAACATCCGAGCGCTTCTTGAGGAGCCTGCGTGTTCACGTTGACGTCATAAGCTTTGCATGCGGAGACGAACGCTAACATTAACGCCAGCAGTCATGCCGTGCGGGCTTGGGACGGCGCTGGTGGAGTTTTGTACCCAAGGATTGGTGTTAGGAGAACGTACGGACGAAGGCTGGTGTTTGGGCGGATGACATTGTCACTTGGAATAATGCCGTTTGCATTCTCGAGATCTATAGTAGTCTCTAGTCTCGCGACTCTCATCGAACAAGTAGACGTGCGGATAGTTACAGATGCTCGAGGCACAGACGAGTGTGTGGGAAGGGACGCAGGGATTGTTTGCGTTAGGGGTGGTTTGCTGAGGGATCGAAACGGCGATCAATTCGTCACGTGTGTACACGTGAGCACATGAGCTTTCTTCGGTGAGGCTTTCCATAGGGCAGAAACTCAAGGGCAGAAACTCATCCCCTTGCGTGGAAGCTGTTTCTCTAGAGCGTGCTTAGTGGCCGATTTCTCCCAGCCCTAGGTACCTAAAACTACTTCTGGCAAGCCATTTATACGGCAGGAGCTCGTGCCCCCGTGCCGAAGCTACTTCCATGAGGTGTCGCTGATCACTCCCAGCACTAGGTCACCCTGAAGAGTTATGATTCCCACCAAGCTATCGGCGCAACCCTAAATTTGCCTCGCACAGCTTCTTCAAATGTTTGGTTTTTTTTTCGTATGCTCCTATGGAGCCATGATCCTATCCGCATAGGGCAGAGATTATCTACAGTATCATCAGCAAGGCTCTGCTCTCCACTCGCCATAAGTGGGTCCCCGGGCCGAATAACAGAACTCGGCACAAGTGCTTCTACGTTAATCACGTCGTCTTTTTGCTGATGAGACCGATGGAACCCTTTTGACGAAATTATTGCCACACTTGGGCTCGAAGAATGTTGAGGACTCTTTTAATTTATTGAAATCAATTTTGTCAAACGCTAGTGTCACAGCATTCTTCGAGCTCTTTGAGATGCCATAACTTTGGGTATTGTGATACTGAATCAAGTAAATTTTGGAAACGATTATATATCTCGATCTACCTCGTGCTAGAACAAAGATTTTACACAATGTCCTAATTTGAACTTATACTGCTTTGCCTATCTGGAATGTATGGCTACTTCCTCCTACTAGACAAGGATCAGCACAACTAACTATCGAAAGCAGGACGCTTACCGAGGAAGCAGGTCAACCTTTCTAGTTTGTTGGATTTGTAGCCCATTCGTCTTGAAGTATCTTCGACACTCGAAGCTCCAACAATCATTCGCACGGACCCAGTTAGCGATGCCATACAAGTAACGTTCTAAATCACTCTCAACTCCTTCCCCAAAAGATGGAACATGATTGAGGTCGTCCAAGAACTCAGACACAATCTTCGAAGCATAGTCACCAATCCACTTCATCGTCTCAGCCAAACTAAGGTTCTTATGATGCATCAAAATTGTGACAAGGTTGTGATTAGCATCACCACGTGCTTGCTCGACGTTGTAAGAGTATATATCCTAGTTTAAAAAGAAAAAGATGAAAAGAATATACAGCGGAGAAATCATCAAGTTCACATTACTGAGAATGATCAGATCAACACAGATATTGGTGAGTTTCTGAATCACCGGGTCTTCAAAGACCTCATCCGGGAGATTGAGTGAGAATTCCAGAACTGCAAATGCCGGCATTGCGCCAATCGTGTTGCGGCGGACAAGAAAATATTCGTCGACGTTCTTTATGTAATTTTTATCACGATCGTGGGCTTGGTCAACGACTGCAGTAGTAAACTTGTAAAGCCCCTCGATGAACCGACGGCGTGCACCTTTGGATGCACACCTCGATGACAATTCCCAAAATCTAGATGAGGAGACGCCCGATTAATTTTCAAGGTAGTGATCAAGCTCGGGACCTACTGCCGGGTAGCTTCTCCAATGAAGCATTCACTCTCTGGCCTGGCCTTGTCAGGATTGCATAAAGCATCCAAGACTATAGTGGACATTTGCTTGACTTCCTGAGAAGACGCGATGTCGGTACATCCATCCAAGAAGAAGAACAAATTCATGAGGTCACAGCCTACGCGAAAGACGTCTGAAGTTCCAATGACATATTGATATATGTATTGGATGAGGAGGAGCAGGATGTAAGATACCTTTATTCTCCAAGGGATATGCAAGGGAAGAGAGCAAATCTAATCAGCAAGTGATATTATCTAGACTATTCTTTGGCAGGCAAGCAAAACTCACGATGATCTCCTAGCTCCAATGCTTGTTGCAGACGTGGTGTGAATACAACAAAACTCTGAGTCCATGCTGTTGATTCTGCTTCAGTCTGGAGGTGTGAGAGTGGATTGAGATTCCGCTTCCACGGCCATTCTGCAAGAATATCAGGGAGAGTGATTACAGATTCCGAAATGCCAGTAGACATCTTGCGGCTGCGTGAAGGAAGTGGTGGCGAGGAGTTCTCAAGAGTGTGTTAGAATCAAACGTAATTATACTGACCGATAGGTCAGTACTAGTCTAGACTCTTGTTTCTCCAGATCGACATGGCGGGTGGATTGATTTGTAGGAACGGCACAACAACGGCAGATAGTGTTGAGGGCATGAACTGCGAAGTATCAAACTATAGTAAAGCTTATGGGCATAACCGGCAGGCTTGAAGGGGCCTCGGGCCGGACGGAGTACCCAAAGGGGTAAGAGTATCTGGAAATCACACCTGTACATACTGTAGGTGGCAATACCCCAGCCGCTCCTCGAAAAATAACAATGGAGACAATGAAAAAAGGCTTCTCGGTGTATATGTAAGCGTAGAGATATCAGTCCCTTTGTAGACCAATATCATCAAATTTACTACCATCTTTTATTAGATCCGCTCCTGGAGACTAGGTCCGTCCATTCATCCCGCCGCCCAATGGATTTACTGCAGAAGCCCTGTACATGGTTACAGGACCGGTGCCAAATACTGTGTCCGAAAGGTTTCTGAACCAGATCAGCTGGACTCAGCCAAAATCAGTTCGCTGGATGACTTTCCATAATGTTTGTTTGAGGCGTCAGACTTACTTTTCCTTCTCAAACAGAGCAACCACTGTGCCGAATTGATGTTGTGCAAGTCCTGGCTGGGCTCCAAAAAATCAGGGATTAACAAGACACAGAGACGAGCCCGGAGCCTTGGGAAGGGCTGGGCTAGGTCAGGCCAGGCCGAGATCAAACATGATCTGAATACAGTATAATACAGTATATGAATGAGTGATTTTCGTAGTTATGTCACCTGTATTGCAACATGAAACATGATCTGAATACAGTATAATACAGTATAAGAATGAGTGATTTTTATAGTTATGTTATCTGTATTGC